AGTCCACAAACATGCAGATTAAGTCTGGCCCTATTTGAGTCGCACATTAGAAGAGGGTGCACGATATAAAACCTTACTTAAAATGAGCGTTGGAAATGTCTCTTCAAATTAGATCTAAAATTATTATTTATATTTCGTAGTAGAAGAGTTGAGTCTGAGAAAACGTAATCTTATGATAATTTCATCCGGAAACAAAACCTACTCAATGCAGCATAAATAAATTCAGGAAAAATTATCTGACTTAGACATTGAAGTTGCTCGTAGCGTTAACCTACGACTGAAGCCTAGTTGCTGGTACGCAACCGGAAATGATAGAACTGTTTTTGAACATGAAACAATTTTGTAAACAATTTGATTTGGTGTTTTTTTCAAGGTCATTTTGTTCAATAAATTAATCGACCTGTGAACTTCGAATTTCGTGAAATGGAATTGATTCACATCATCTAGACATCAACTCTTCCTGTCAAGGTAAATATGGATTTCTAGGGCAAATATAATAAGACACCTTGTGCGTTAGCCATTGCGAAACCAATATGCCTAATCAGAACAGAAAAAATTAAAACATTGGCGTTTGGAACCGTAAAAGCAAAACAAATATAGGCGGGCATTACATTCGAATAAATCTACATTATATTGACAGAATAAAATGAAGGTGTTACTGTCAAAACGAAAGAGTAACTTTTACACGAGATGGATGCAGACCAAGTGATAGGGCAAATACCTCGTCAGTAGTTTGAGACCTCTTGGCTCTAAAATTGACCAGTTTCAGGAGTTCCGTCAGCATATTTTCATCTCTGTTGGCAACAGCAAGAGCTACAAAAGGTCGTATTCCTTCTAATTTGACAAGTGATCGATGCTCCTTGGTAACTTTTATGCATTGGGGATTCGATTTTTTAATTAGATGCTTCATATCATCAACCCTACCGGCTAAAATTACTTCCGCTATACCTTTATTATTCCAACAAACATTGGAATTCAATCGTTCAACCTTCTCCAAGATTACCTTGACCAAATTAACATGACCCTATAAATGAGACAAACATGCGCATTCACCTAAGCATTTACTTACCATGTAAGCGGCGTAAGCAATCGCCTGGTTTAGTGGGTCCGTAGTTACTGTTCGCAAACTTAGATATCGTCTAAGAAAGTGATTAACAATTTTCTCATGCCCGAAGTATGCGGCATAATCTAGGGGTGTCCGATCAAATTTGTCTTTCACTAACATGTCAGCACCGCTGTCTAACATCAGTAGAAGGCAATATACGCGAGGTAGCCCAGCAGCATAGTGAAGAGCGGTTATGGGGCACTTAACAACGCAATTAGAAATATCCTTTTCTTGAAGATACTCACGTAGAGCTTGATAATCATTGATAATAACAGCACCAATGGTCCTTTGAGATGTGATTATATGTTGATTTATGATTTGATCAACCTAAAAGGCAAAAAAGAGAATTTTATTTGGCTTGTAAAGTAATTCCGCGAGAAAGTAAAACGCGCACACGAAAAGAGCACAACCGATTCGCTCCCTCGCCGCACATAATTTTTTTTCATAAACTTGTCAAGATTGGCAGTGTGATATCAACTCCACTTTGAGCTTTATTCCTTCAGACAGTTGTAAAACACAAGTTCTTACATGTCCTTGAAATCCCCAATAGACGAAACAGTAACTGGTTTACTGCTGTTATTACGATAATAGCCAACTCGCTTTCAATCGAATATCAAATTTAATGAACATGTTTAACACACTAACCTAAACTAGACTTTGTTATCTGTGCTTTGAGTTGTGCATTTTGAGAAAAAAATGGTCGCCCGATTAAAATTTATAAACATTAATTGCAAATACAGATTGTACAGGGTGTCTGAATAACAGTCCGATCAATAGACATTTAAGCACGTATGAATGCTCTATTTTCTAAAAAATTCGAATGGAAAGTTGTAAAGAATGAATAAAGAATTATATAAGCAATATAATTCCAAAAAATACGATCATTGAGGCTGAAGAATGGGGAAAAGTTTATGATGTTCCAAGCGTTTTTTGAAGAAACCGAAAGTAATTTAATATCATTCTTTCGTTGTTTTAAAATGTTTCAAAGCAGAATGTAAACAAAATACTGGCGTATAGAACAGGCTCTACAACTGAGTACTTGTGTGGTTCCCAATGTTGTTACAATACGAATATCCTCCGACTACCTATAAAACTTCGACAGTTTTCTTCCCCTTTGGATTGCAAATCTGATACTCTATTTATCATTATTAACACATGCTTTTTAGGGGCAAAAGGAGGGGTTTCCATTCAATTGAGTACTGACGTTATAATAAGACAGTCAAGAAATCTGCGCAGATATTAATGAATTGACTTGTTTTATTTGAGGTGATATTTTTATAATTATAATTGTTTACAGCAAATAAGACTCTATTGCTTATATACACCTGGAAGTTTAACCAATTAGTAAACGAGGGTAATGCCGCTCAAATTAGCAAATTTTCACTTACTTCTAATTTCATATCTTCCGGTTTTGTCATGCTCTGGATTTTGAGGATGACCATTGTTCAGAGTCACTACCATCCACATACATTATAAAAAAGAAAAAGCCAATAATTTCTATTGAAAACTTTATCAGATTTATTTGCAATAACCACTTATTATATTTTTATTTAGGATAGGTTAAGAAGCTGAACAAATATTCATATATCGAAAGCGCTGAAAGCTTAACTCAAATTTATCAGTAGACAAATAACATGCACAGGGAAAATAGATAATTGATGATTGAGTCGGTATTGACAATGTGTTTGGTTCATTCTTAATACCGATCCAACTAATGTGTAGGGAAAATGTGGGAAAGTTATGGAATATTAAGAACTGGATAAATAATATGTGTGAGCTTCAATAAAATAAATAAAAAATATTCACTGCTCTAAACTATAATAAAGTTAGAAGTAATAATATATCTACCGAAATCATATAAAAATGCAAAGAATATTTATGAAAAATGGCAATTATATGAGCCGAGATGTCAGTTACAATTGAAAGTATGTAATAAATGAATTCCCGTGTTTAAAATTTCTAGAGAGATAATTAACCATTGAAAAGCCAAAACGCATTGGTTCATAATCAACGCTTTGCCTTTATCATTTTGAATTCCATGCTACAATTAAAGTAGCAAACATTTTTGTTATTCATAATCTAAAATGCAACGCTGAAATGTAATTAGTCTGATAAGTGGGAAATTATAAAACCATATATTCCATTGACTTTAAAAAGCATATTGGTAGGACATAAACGAAAGAATATTGAAAAAGGTATTGATTACAACAATTATTTTTGGTTTATAATATATATCGCTTAATATTCAGGGTTCAAATTTATAGCATTGCATAGAGAGGAATTAAAAATAATAACTACCTTCTTTCCCAAATCGGTTAAAATGATTATTATAACTCGATAAGTATGCTTTCGGAAACCTTTCCAATCGTAACTATTTTCTATGTCCTTGTTCTTCCGTAATTTATCTACCTCTATCAAGACCTTGAATGAGTGATAAAACGTTTGTGAGTCTAGTTCTTTTTATCTTATACTAATCTTTTGTGTCTCAACTTACGGTATTACAAGTATGCCTAATGCCTTATGAAGAATACTTGTAATGCTTCTTTCATATTGAAAGTGGTGAGCATTTTTCGTGCTTAAATTTATTCTGTTTCTCTTTGGTTAAAAAATATCTGTAGATGGTATATTCACACACACCCTCTTTCTAATTTTAGCACGATGTTGTATTCGTTGACCGCTTCAATGGATACGCCTGGATAGATGGAGTTCTTAAAGTGAACCATGTTAACGTTCTCTTTATTGATCGAACTAGTAAATACGAATTTAGGGTAATTCTTTTCATTTTGATTTTGATTTTCTTTTTGACTTTTTTGCTTAATGTGCTTTCTAGAAATATCCCATTTTAATAATTTTCCATTTTAGTTGGAAATAAGTCTGCTGGGGACAGTAGAAAGACATAATTTGGCGGTATTTGGAACTCCTTTGACGATTAAGAGTAAAAATTTTCGTGTTTCTTGCTTTATATTCCGCCAAAATAATAACTGTTTGGAGTTCTGTAAAGAACTTGAACGATTTCGAGAAGTCTGTAAGTCCTCGTGTTTCTTTATTTTTTTCGGATTTTTGGTTAAATTCTACAATTTTCTCACTTTTAAGATTTTTAATGACTGGCCTATTGATATATTTTTTTGCTTCTATAAAACAGTCTACATAGGTTAAAGAATTCATATCTTTATCTTAATGTGGTTCATTTAAATACTGTAGTTTGATCTTAGTACCTTTTTTGCCATAATCAGATAGTATAGACGCTCTTCCGTGTTTCAAACATTGGCCCCCTGATCACCCAAGCAAGCCTGATGAGGGCTGGAATCGTTTTGGTTTATCCACAGATTTCGCTCGCATGGGTCTACCAAATACCTCTTGGGTAGAATTCAGCAATAATTTTTACGAGGTAAGTTCTTTGTTTAAATTTGGAATCGGTTAATTATGGCTGGTAAATGCAAAGTACCATGTAAAATTGATATTCTAATATAGGCTCAGCTATGGTCTAATCTTATTTGCTAAGAATTGAATTACACCCTTCTTGTTGTAAGGTTTTATAGTGTCATATGACCATTGGGGTCAGACCAGATCAGGTCAAGGCTGACTAGTACAGGTAGACACACGCTGTATTGCAGTGAATTCTCTTTTATTGATTTCTATGATCATTCATATTAGTTTGACTTTAAACAACCATTACAGTAAATGACAGCTAAATGAACAAAGTAAAGCCCGATTCCCATGTGTATCTTCGCGCTAAGGGAAAGCATCATATACTAAAATTTATACAGATTAATTCCATTAGAGAAAATTGTTACCATCAAGTTTGATAGATATAGACCCACAACCTTGTTGGTTTAAAGTGAATCAGGGCGGAATCATGAGGAAGTCGAACTGCTTAGGCGTCGGTCACTTTTGTACACAGTGGAGCTAGGTGGACGTTCAGTAAATTAACACGTTCTTTCACCATTTCTAGCCTTTATTTTCCTTTTTTATGCATCTTCTAGGCTTTATATACTTTAATATTCATTCTACCTTACCAACACTACGTACTTTCATGAACATCTGTTTAAGCGACATTATCTGCAGAATAACTATTAGCTCTTGGAATGAATGAAAACAAGCAGAATCAACGTGTAATGCACAAAGCTGGTTGTGATTGAGCCTATCTCACTGTAGTATCCACAGGGAGTATATTATTGGTGTTAAGTAAGATGTGAATAGTGAAGCAACATGCTAATTATTTTTCTTTCGTTTTTTCGATAGCATTGTGACACCTACCCCAGTGTGATGTTTGTGCCAAAGGCTGCTGATCTTGAGACGATTCTTGGTAGTGCCAGTTTCCGTTCTCGTCAACGTTTTCCAATCTTAACTTGGATTCATCCCAATGGCAGAGTAAGCAGTATATTTCCTCAACGTATCATTTTTTTCCTCTTCGAAATAGTCAGTAATCTGTCGGTCAAGTCAACCCCTATCTGGTCTGACAGGAAAGAGCAAACATGATCAGGAATTATTGAAAAAAATTCGTCTTGCTGGATTATCAGAGGCAGCCCTTACAACCAAAGGACCTTTGCCTTTCACCACTCGTTTGCCTCCAAACCTCTACGTCGTGGATACTCGGCCACGACTAAATGCTCTCACTAATCGAGCCCAAGGCAAGGGTTATGAGGACGAGAATGTCTATGAGGATATCACCTTTAGATTTGTGGAGATTCCCAACATTCATGTTGTTCGTGCTTCTCTTGAGAAAATGCTTTCTGCCTACCATATGCCTAAAGCCACAATGATGGAGTTGAACCAAGCAGTAGACAAGTCCAGCTGGCTTCGGATTCTCCGCACAATTATGGAGGCATCTTACTTTATATCCTCGCGTTTAATGACTGATGATGATGAAGGGTACGGCTACTCCTTCCTTGTCCACTGTTCCGATGGATGGGATCGTACCGCTCAAGTGTGTTCTCTCGCCCAACTCTTCGTTGATCCCTACTATCGCACGTTTGAGGGATTTCAAGCTTTAGTAGAGAAAGACTGGCTCCATTTTGGTCATAAATTTGGCTCCCGTTGTGGTCAGACTCGCTTGGTGGACCCGAGGGAGATTGCTCCAGTTTTCACGCAATTTCTTGACTGTACTCGTCATCTTGTGGAATTTTTACCAACCGCCTTTGAATTTAATACACGCTTCCTTGCTGCTCTACACGATCACTCACAGTCCGGAGTATTTGGGACTTTTGTTGGATGCTCTGAGAAGGAACGCGTAAATTTCGAGTAAGTGGGCAGTCTGCTTATTTGATGTATCAGTAGTATCATACAGAATGGAAAAGTAGTACAGTTTGGCAATAACTGAAAGGTGAGGAATCATAATTTTCAGTGAATATCTAACGGAATTATTAGTTCGTCAAACGGAAGAAAATATGGTTCAGGCTTTACCCCGACAACCTGACTCAGCTCAATTTAGAGAACTGTTTCCTGCACTTTTATCAGCCTTGATTACCTAATAATGCCTGCAATCACTAATCCCTACAATTGCACTTATCCTTCCGTTTTCATTGCAATAAATCTAATAAAATTAAATGAGGGTATTAACTTTCATCCACATTCGTAAATAGGTTTATACTATCTACGCAGTCTGAACCATAATTTTGGCTCTTGTAGCGCCCATGTACTACTTGGTATTGTGCGATCTTCTGTTGGTTTCTCATCCTATAATGGCACAATGTGGCACACTGAATAAACCAATAAGCGCCCCGCAACCTAACTTCGCCTTTTCCTCACAGCCCGGATTGCCTTTTTGTTTCAGTTCTTACGCCTCCCTTTATCCTAACACCCTTTCTGCTGATCTATTCTTTTTCATCTCCTGTATTATTAATATTCAAATGCAGACTCGCCTATATTGGAGCAACCTCCAATAGCTTAAACAGCATTAAACACTCCTGATCCGTTTTTTGTTCCCTTTCTAGCCTCGCAAATCGAACCCCGAGCTCCTGGACGTACTTTGCAAATCGACGCAGTCTCTATCTCAATCCACTCTATCAACCCTCAGAGGAATATCGAAAGGCCTCCGAAATGGCCTCTGATCGACCTCCACATATTATTTCACCTTTACCGGCATTTGTTACCTCACCTCATCTCTACAGGTCAGTTTATGTTACTCCGAAGCTTGGCTATTTTGCGCTGAGAAGTCAGAAAGCATAGTTAAAATCGATTATAAACTGTTGGCGAAACCTCAACTTTATTAGCACAACCACAAGTAAATATGCCATTTATATATGTTTGGCATTATGGTGAGGTTGAACTTTTGCATAGATCTATTTATTTATAACAAATGGCAGGCGTTTTGATAGTTATAATTAGCCCTTTAGTTGACTTCAGGCTTCACAGAGGGAGAGGAACAACAAAGTGAAAAAAGTCTAGAGGGGGGGGGAGACAAAGGTAGTTGAAAGGTGAGGTGAGTACTGTGGAAGTAGTCGAATATGACATACAGTGGGGTGATGGTAGTTTGAAATGAGAAGGCAACTGCCAGTTTATGGACTTTTTTGCCGTATGAGTATACGTTGCCCGGGATGCACCACATGGAGGTAAGTCTATCGCACACCCCTCGCTTAGATCTTGAAGGTGAAATGTATCAAATGAGCTCATAAAGTATTGTGCTTTTTAGCCTACTTTTTGCTCAACTTACTCCTAGTTCTCCATTCTATTTCCCATACTT